GTGATGGGAAGGAGGGGTAAGGCCCTTTGGGGCTCTGGCAGGCAGACCTTCTCCAGGGAGGGCCCCCGCTAGAATTGAGATTGGGTTTGTGTTGTCTGAGACTCTCCCAAGGCAGAGGCTGAATAGGCAGGAAGGTCAGGGGCCCACACTCAGAGGGACGGTCCAGGCTGGAGCCCTGGGTGTAGGTGTCCCTGAAGCCATTGATGTGGGGCCAGCAGAGGGCAGAGGCAGGACTGAGCTCCAAGGCCAAGCTGCTAACGCAGTGAGAATCCAGACAGGATCGAGTGGTGTCCAGAAAGGAAAGCGTGCCCAGGGGCTGGCCGTCCGTCCGGCACACTGGGGCAAGGAGGATGGGGGGTCACTAGATTTGGGGCTCAGAGATCAGAGCTGTGTTTGAGGAGCGGTTGGGCTGGGGAGGGACTAGAGCTGAAGGAGAAGGGTCTCCCTGAGAGAGGCTCAGCTCAAGGAAAGGCCCTGTGGGTAAGGTCTGGCCAGCAGAGAAAGAGGCCACCCTGTTTAAAGCGGGGTTGGAGGGACCACAGCACCCCTGTTCAGCATTGACGAGGGAGCATCTTTCTGCGCCACACATGGGTTTTTTTGCAGGAGTTACCCCTGGGCCAGGGCCACTGAGTCAAAAGGTAGGTACTTGCTATTTGAAGACATTCAGCCTCTTGTCCCCAGGGGTGGCTCGACTGCCGCTGACCCAATCGCACAAGCGAGCAGGTCTTTGTCTTCTCAGCCCTCACTCACACGGGGGCCCTCCCTCAGTGTTTCCCCCTGGAGAAGTGTGTCATGAGGGTGTCCTGAAGCAGGAACTAAGGGCAGTTGGCATCTATGTGCAGCGTGGGGGCTTCCTCTCAGTGGATGTGGCATTGGACCACCACCCCTGCCTGGGCTCTAGGCCTTGAGCAAGCAAGCTATGGGCCACACAGGTGGGCTGGTCTCCCAGCCGAGGGCCAGGCTCCCTGGAGAGGCACACCCTGCCAGCCAGCAGTGCCCCCCACTCTGTGATGCCCAAGTCGCCAGAGGGCTCCCTTTTCTTAGATGGGGAGATTAAGGCCCAGAAGAGGACCAGCACCCAGCTGGAGCCTGGCTTGTCAGAGGAGCCCAGGAAGGGACCTCGGGAAAGGCAATAGCTGCTGCTCCTAATCTGCTCAGGGACCGTCACAGCTGTCCTGGGCCTACCTCTGGCCAGTACTGGGAAGGAGGTTGCCATGGCTTTCAGAACCTGCTGCTCCCACCCCTCAGGGAGTGTCCTTTTTGCTGGAGGCATGTCCCAGTTGCCATGGCAGCCCAGCGCATGCCTGGAGGGCCTCTGGACATAATTAGAGGCTCAGTGCCATCACCTGTAGCTGAGGCTCATGAGGACAGGGGCACAGCACTCACCTTCCCCCTGGTGTATCTGCCTACCCTCCCACTGGAGGCCTAGACTCACAGCAGAGTATCAGGGCAACTGTACCACGTGGGGCTGAGGATGGGGCGTCTCAAGCAGTACAAATGTCAGAATAGGCAGGGTCTTCAGGGACCCCGACTACCAAGGTGCCCGAGCAGGCGTGAGACTCCCACACTCACAGCCTCAGGGAGGGGGTCCCACCGGCTCAATACAGTGGGCACAGGGCTGGGGACCTGAGGGCTGGGGGTCTGCTCACATTGCTGGCACCCAGCCCCTGAGCTCTACTCTGGGCCGCACAGGCACCCTGCCCCACCTTGTAGCATGTCATCCGGGAGCTGCAGTGTGACACCCATCCTGGGAGGGTGGCTTTCAGCACAGAGTAGAAGGAGCCTGGTGGCAGAGGGAAGGAACTGTTTAGACCAACACAAGGAGGCCCCAAAGGTTTAGAAAACTGAAGGACTGGGGGTGTTTCTGCTGGGGCTGCCAAGACCAGGCTGCAGGCACAGGGCTTGCTTTGCTGGGCTGGGGCAGCTTTGGACGCTGTGGCTTCGGAGCTACAGTCTTGAGCCCAGGGAGCTGACTCTTCCCCTATCACTCCAGCTCCCTCGACCCTCCCACCAGTGGCCCTTGGGAGGTCGCCCTTGAGGACTGACCTTCGTTACTGCAGTCCCCACATCGGGCACTATGACCCTGTGCCCTGAGTCGTAGCTGACACACTCCTCCCAGACTGGCACCCAAGAGTGGGAGGGTGAAACTGGCTGGAGGTCCTGGCCAGCCTGAGGCCTCTCCACTGAGTGCCCAGCAGCACTGCATGGACATTCTCCCAGGGGGGAATTCTGGATCCCTAGCAGTGTCCTAGCATCAGCAGTGTCCTCAAGGGTTGCCTGTGCACCTCATTGGCAGCATTGGGGGCCCAGAGTGTGACACCGTGAGTGAGGGCTGTGTTGGTGGCTCCAGGCCTAGACAGCTATCCCATGAGATAGTATGGGTTCAGGGCTGCCCAGTCAGTCTTGCTCATACCCTTTTTGTCCTCACAGGCCGCCGGGGACACACCCACCACCCCAAAGCACCCTAAGGACAGCCGAGAAAACTTCTTCCCTGCGGCTGTGGCCCCTACAGCCCCTGACCCTGTGCCAGCAGATGCTCTCCAACGGCCCAGTGACACCCACACCAAGCCTTGCCCTGCCCCGGCTGCCACCGCAGCTATCATCACCTGCCCTCCCTCGACATCAGTCTCCACCTCAGACCCATCCAAGGACCCTGGGCTCCCCCAGCCGCACAGTCCTGAAGCCACTCCTCGCATGGCCTCTTTGGGCCCAGGTGAGTTCTATCCTGTGCCTCTGGGATGTGAGGCCATCAGGTGGCAGCAAGTCCTGCTCCTTGCCTGGAGAATGTGGGTGGGGAGAGGCAGGGCAGCCTCCAGCCCGGTGTCCACGGAAAACATCCAGCCTAAGAAACACTTATAGATGAGTTTATTTGAGTCAAACTGACAATTGCCAGGAAGCACAGTCTCAACGGATTGAGAAAATGCTCCAGAAAATGGCCATTTTGCAACTTATTTTATACATTAGAATCAAAGGAAGAAGGTTACATGAAATCCATTGGTTGTAGACTAAGGGAGTGGGAGAAAGCAAAGCGGGGAAATCTCTGGGATGGATAAAAGTAAAATGGAGAGACACACACTTCTTTTACATTGGTGGGTACAACATAGTTGATAGCATTTTACAGCGCATAGAGATGGTATTTGGGGAACAAGATAACAATGAGGGACTTTGTAGTTTCCTGCTCTGGTGTGGTGGGTTGTGCCCCCTGGGGGGTCCAGAAGAAGAGATTACTCTGATATTGGAAGGGTATGTTATTTTAGATGCAAAAAAACTACAGACAGGCTCACTTAAGGTAAAGATTGACCTTTGTCAAGGAAGCTACAGGCCAAGGATGTGACTTCCCGCCATGGCCCACCTTTGTTAGGAATTTTTATGTTCAGGCCATCCTCTGTGGTTGTTTTCAGTCTCTTGAGCTTGTCAGGTTTAACATGTGGCCCTTTTTCCATCCACACTGGTGATCCCTGAGGAGTACATCACAGGAGCTGGGAGTGGGGGTGGGGCAGACCCTGCTAGCCTACTCATCAGCCACTTGCCCCAGTGGGCACATGCTGCACCCATCACTTTCTTAAATTAACTGTCTGGTGCCTCAGTCTCCCCATCAGTAAAAGGGGGTTGGTGACAACCCCTCCCCCCCACACACACACACATACACAGGTGTGGTGAGGAGGGAAGAAGGGAGAAGGGACACTAACATTGACAACATTGGCCTTTGTTTTCTCCTCCCACAAAGCCTTAGGATAATGAGATAAAGAGATAAAATAGTCCGAAGGAGATGGGGGGTGGGGTAGGAAGGTTCTGACCCTGAGTGCACAATGTGACCTCACAGGCCTGTGAGCGGGCTCTGGGCACCTGCTAATTGAGGGGCAGACCTGCTTGAGTCCCCATACCCCATTGGGCAAGACAGATGGAAGTCAGCCAGGAAGGACGGGGGCAGGGAGGACTGGTGGGCTTATGCAGGAAAAGGGACAGGGCAAGGCAGGTCCACTAGCAGGAGGGAGAGAGCCCTTGTTCCTTCTAAACCCAGGATGCAACTAGGAATGGCAGCGGAGGGCAGGGCCCGCTGGCAGGCCAGGAGGGCGCAGACAGGCCTGAGGCTTTCTGAGGAGGGGCCACTGAGGCAGCACCTCAAAGGCCAGTGGGCAAGAGAGAAGCAGGCAAGGCGCTGTCCTGACTGGCCCACAGCCAGGCACCCTTCTGCCCGCACACCCAGGTTACCCCTAAAGGCTTGCTGTCCTCCCAGTTGCAGCCCCATGTCGAGGGCCACGTCTGGGGCTGCTGCTCTCAGCCCTGATACCTTGGCTGTGTCATCTCCTGAAGAATGGGACAGCCACCCCTGGCAGGAGTGCCCGTCAGGAGCCAGACCTGAAAGCTCTAGCTAGCCAGCCATGACCTAGGGGCACTGCCCCACAGGCCGCTCTGCCCGTATGGAGACAGAGAGTGGCAGTCCTCCTTCTCTTAGCTCTTTTCTACGTCTCAAGGCATCAGACACTGATGTTTTCACCTGATGCCATCTCCGGTTTGCTTTGAGGATCATGGAAGTGTAAAGACCCGCTATCCAGTCAATTACAATTGTGCTGGCTGTGGCCCTATGAAACGAAGAATCACTCCTTCTTGGGTCAGCTCCTGCAGCCATTTGTTCTGCGAGGAGCCTCTAAAGGCTACAGGACAAAGAGTTGAAGAACTGTAAGTGGTGGTTCCACCACCAGGGGACCTTGGCTGTCCTTGTTCCGCCCTGCGTATCTCATCCTAACTCAGTTTCCAGCACACAATGTATAGGATGGAGGGGATAGCATTGCAGGATTCAGAATAGTGCTTGGCAGATAGTAAGCATAGCCACGTGGTAGGTTTTGGTGGTGGTAGTGATTTCAAATGACAGCGGTGGCGAGAGTCTGCTGCCCAGGGCAGTCAGTCACTTGCACCAAGACCCAACTCCTGTTCCTCCATCGTTTCTCCTCCTCAGGCTGTCTTGCCCTCCAACAGACTCTTGCCCCTGTGATCTTGTAGTCTCTAAGGATCAGGAATTTGGAAAGATCAGGCTGTCAGCTAATCATCCTAGTTCACTCAAGTTGTGAACAGGCTTCAGGTCTTCGTTGGCTATTGGCTGGAGGCCTCAGTTCCTCTACTGTGGGCCTCTCCATAAGCTCCAGTGTCCCTGAGTCATGGCTGCTGGCTTCCCCTAGGACCCAGGATCCGAGAGAGACAGACAGAGATACAGAGAGAGCTCGAAGGAAGTATCATTGTCCTTTAAAACCTAATCTTGGAAGTGACTGTCCATCACTGGTGTTGGCCACACACAATGTGATACAAGGTGGGAGGGTTCCTCAGGTCCTGGATACCAGGGGTCATCAGGGCCAGCCTGGAGCCTGCCTAGCTGCCTTTTCTCTCCTGCTCACCCAGTCCCATCCCCAAGCAAGCCAAAAACTATCTTTTGCCCTTTTTTCTTCCCTCTGTTAGATCTGGGGATGAGTGTGTGTTTCCTAGTGTATATCCTTCAGCCTGGAGAGTTGATCCTTTTCTATCTTCTTCCCCAAAACTAAATTAAATGGACTTTTGCTAGATGGAACTCTTGCGTGACATTGGGGATGGGGGGACAGCCTGAGAGTATGTGCTGTATGGGCCTGGTGGTGAGGCAGCCGGGGATGGGCCAGGCACTCGCACGCCTTTCCCCCCACCCACCCACCCCCACACTTCTACACCTGCTTCATGGAGTGACGTACCTGTCTTTCAAGGCTGCCACAGGTAGATGGCGTTTGGCTGGCCATATCGGGGTTGGCGTCCCCAGTGGTTCCCAGAGCTTTCTGGGGTGGTGTCAGGGCCAGGCTGGGACAGGCACGTCTCCCCAGAGCCCACCTCCCACAGCCTCCAAAATAGGGAAAGCACCAAGAAGAAGCCACCCAGCAGGGTCCTGGTTCCCCAGATAAGACAGGGTGGCGTGGCAGTGTGGCTGCATCTGCCACTCCTGGTGACCAACAGGTAGCCCAGAATCAGACAGAGGTTCAGGTCGACAGGGAGGGCAGGGCCTGCCCTGCAAAAGTACCCAGAGACTAGAGGGTGTGCAGACCTGGAGCCAACGCCGGGGACAGCGACATAAGAGGTGTGAGCCACCCGGGAGAGCTGGCTTAACGACAGATTCTCCCAGGACGCAGTCCCCAAGGTGTGAGAGAGTGGGGAGGGCAGCTGTAGAGGAGACCTTGGCAGCCGCTGTCCCCAGGGTGGGCAGGCCTTCCCCTAACTGGGGCTCCCCTCACACAGTCCTTTCAACTCCAGCCAAAGGGAAGGCGCCTGGCAGTGTCCATTCCTGACTTCTTGCCTTCCAGGGCCTGAGACAGGCGAGCATGCTCTCAGGCTGCCCTGGTCACTAGGGAAGACATCATCTATCCACCCAGGCCATGCTGACCAGGCTTGTTGGCCACATGCGGCAGATGCACCCCCTGGGGGAGCTCATGGTTGGTCATGGGCACCTGGGGAGGCTCCTGATCATGTATCTCCCCTGGCTCTGTGCCAAGGGCACGCACCCGCTTATCTGTTTGTTTGTTGGGTGTCTGTCCACCACAGGGCAGGACCTGGGTTCCTGCTGACTCTCCAGCTGCTAGAACAGTGCCCTGGCCCACGAGTGAGGGTCCCTCTCACTGAGGCAGTCAAGAGTAGGGACAGTGGAACAGGGAGGAAGAGTAGAGGGCACTGCAGGCCTCAGAACCAGCCTGGGTGAGGACTTGAGCAGGGTACCACCCGCCCATGCAGGGTGCCACCCACCAAGTGGGGTTGAGGGGCTGGAGTCCTAGCCTCATGCCAATCAAGAAGCCAGAGAGAGTCTGAGCCAGGGCTGGGGATCTCTTAGGACATGGCCCTTGGGGACCCATTACCCAGTCTGTGAATCTGCCCAGGGGGCAGGGAGAGTTGCCTGGATGCCCAGGATTCCAGCCTAGTTACCTGCTTCCCACACACACAGAACCGGAGGCAGGGGGACTCAGGGGAGCCCCAGATAGCCCTTCTCTGAAGGCTGAGGCCCCAGGCAGGTCCCCTCCTCCTCAGGCCCACCTGTAGTCCTCCTCACAGTGGCCTTGGGGAGGGGAAGGACTGCCTGGCCTGGGGAGCCCTGTCCCACTTGCTGGAGTCCCTGCCCCAAGTGTCCCTCTTCCTGGCCACCCACCAAGAAGGAAGGGCCTGGGACAGGTGGACAGTCGCCTGGGGTGAGAGGGAGTCAGCCTCCACCAACCACAGGACCTGTCCAGGTGTACCAGGCCCCCGTCATCACAGTCCTGTCCTGTAGAATCCTGCCGCCCACCACCCCATCCCACCTGAGCAGCCCCTCCAGACCACTCAGCCAGGCCCTTCGGAGAGCAGTTGCATAGGAGAATTGGATCCAGGCAGGCAGGGCATTGCTATCTACGAAGGACCTGAACCAGCCACCCAGCAGGCCTGCCTTGTGGGTGCATGCCTGGCCGCGGGGGCCTGAGTCCTGCACAGTTACACAGGATTCCAGCTGCTCCCTCTGCTTCTTGGGTCCAGGAGAGCAGCGGGAGGAGCCTTCCAGGGTGCTCACCCCTGCCGACCATTACGGATGGGGCTGGACCCATTGTGTATGGTGACAGAGTCTGTGACCGTGATTGGCAGGCAGTGGGGCCTGAGGAAGGCAGGGAAGGCTCTGTCCTGTGGGGCCTGGAAGCCAACAGGCAGGCAGCCCGGGCTACTCCGCAGCCTGTCTTTGTCCCAGTCCCAGAAGCCCTCGTTCCTGCGTGTCCAAGGAGAGGGAGCTGTTTCACCTGCGGGGGAAGAGGAGAATGCTCCCGGCAGAAGGAGCTTGATGGGCGAAGTGGAAGAGAGGAAGGGTCGTGGGGCAGTGGCCCATATGGCCAGAGATGCTGGGCCCAAGTAAGAAGGAAGAGGAGAGCAGCATAAGGAGCCGGACTGTGAAGAAGCCTGGACACGGCTCAGAGCTAAGGGGAGGGTGGAGGCAGGGCTTGGGGGCCTGGGAGTAAGCAGACTGCTGCTGACTAATGGCCTGGCTGGTGGCCATGGTGCAGTCTTCGTCGCTTGGGCCCATCTAGGCCTTGGCACGACCGAGGCCAATTCCCGGCCTCTGCCTCGTACCAGGGAAGAGGTGGCCTGGCGGGAAGGCGTAGTGCCAGCATAGCACTCCATCCACTTTGGTCTTAGCTGGTTTGTTTGTTTTTGGGTCCTGTGTTTCTGATTGCCACTCCTGTAAGCTGGGGGTAGGGGAGAAGCATGCAGTCTTGGTGTTGCCCCCACTGTGTCAAGTACACAGCGGTCCAGGTGGGGAGCTGACCCCACCAGTGTCCACTGGGCACGGGGGCAGGGATGAGTGCTTTCCTGTCAGTACTGGCCTGGCTCTGCCCATGCGATTGTTCCAGAGGCGCTCCTGCTAGTCCATGGGCCACTTGGTAGAGGTGGACTGCCACCTCAGCTCAGGTCCCCTGCCAGGTGTCCCAGGACATGGGAGGGGCTCTGTTCCTTGGGCTGGGTGAGGATGTAACCCACTGCCACCCTGTGCCCTACAGAGGGAGAAGAGCTGGCAGGAGGGACAGAGGGCGCTGGCTACCTGCTCCAGGAGCCTCAGTGCAGTGAACAGGTGAAGACAGAGCCGCACTGCTGGCCAGCAGAGGCCACCCCCCACACAGGCACCGAGCCTGCCTGCAGCCAGGGTAAGGCATCAGGAGCACCCCAACAGTGGCCCCCATGGCCAGCAGCCAGGGTGGACTTCCCAGCAGAGGTGCCTCCCTCCCCTGGAAGGGTGGAAGGGGCTGGCAGGCTGGGGCCCCGAGAAGGCCCAGTGGTGAGGTACAGATAGGGTAAGCCCCAGCTGAAGAGCCTGGTAGGCTAGGGTGCAGAGAGAGGGGTGGGAGAGGAGCCCCACAGAGCCCCTCACTCCACTCCCAGCTCCACAGAGGGGAATAGTGAGAGCAGGCGGAGCCCGTTCCCAGGCTGCTAATGGAGAGAGCTGGAGGGGTGCCCATACCCAATGGGGCCAGGGCGGGGAAGACACGTCGTGGTGGGAGGAGTCCAGGGCAGGCAGAGGGGTGGCCAGTTGGGCTGGGCCAGACAGGCGTTTATGTTTATATGGAGGCAGAGCCAGTTCCCACCAGCTACCACACCCAGCTAGGGCCCTTGGGGAGTCCTTGGTGCTAGAGCCTCTTATAGACCCCACTCAGGACTGCAGGGCCTGGCACCAGCCCCAGGGACCAGGCTTGGGCTCTGAGTAAGCCCCGCTCCTTTTAAAGCCATGGGGCTGTGGAGGAATGTGGAGACTGGCCGGGCTCATGCAGCCCCCCAGAGGCCGCCTGCCCAGAACCGCTTCCTCTAAGCTCCAGGCACAGGAGGCCCTATGCCTGCTCTGGAGCATGAGGGGAAAGTGGACACCCCGGGGCTCTGCTAGGTTAGTCCTGGGGATGTAAGAGTTAATGTGTGCATGACGCCCGGAGGGCCTTCAAAATCCCTGGGAAGGATCCGGAGACGTTGCCTGCATCCCAGGCCCTGGTGTCCCAGCGTACACCGTGCTGGGGGCGGGGCGGTCTCAGCCCCTGTACCCAGCAGTCAGCGTGGCAGAGAGAGACAGGAGGCCTGGATTCTGCCAGCCAGCACGGGCAGAAAGACCAAGAGAACGCACGCATGATCTGAGGTAGTCAGAGGAGGCAATCTTGGTGCCTGTCTTCCAGAGGGGAAACTGAGGCCCGAGTTGGGGAGGGGTAGGTGGGTCCAGGAGGCTGTGAGCGAGGTTCAGATTCGGTGATCCACCCCACAGTTGCCAGCTCCACGGTGCCCAGCAGTGGGAGTGCCCAGCCACCCGAGGGCCACCCAGGCAAGGCAGAGGCCAGCAGGGCCAAGTCTCGCCTCCTGCCCAACATGCCAAAGCTGGTCATCCCCTCAGCTGCCACCAAGTTCCCCCCTGAGATCACTGTCACGCCGCCCACGCCGACCCTGCTCTCACCCAAAGGCAGCATTTCGGAGGAGACCAAGCAGAAGCTGAAGGTGACTGAGGGTGCAGGGGGGGGGAGCATGGGTGGGAGCACGGGCTACGGGGGGGCCCTGGGGCCGGGCTAGGCCGCCCTGACCAGTGCCCTGCCCGGTCTGTGCAGTCAGCCATCCTGTCTGCCCAATCGGCTGCCAACGTGAGGAAGGAGAGCCTGTGCCAGCCGGCTCTGGAGGTCCTGGAGACATCGAGCCAGGAGTCCTCGCTGGAGAGTGACACAGATGAGGACGATGACTACATGGACATCTGAGGGGCCAGAGCCCCCAGCCGCACCCCAGCTGCCCAGCCTCCCTCCTACATGGCGTCCTCCCTGCCCACCTAGGCGGGGTCTGTCCTGACTGCGTGGGGCTCACAGGAGGCCAAGTTTAGCCAGGTGAAGATGGACAGATAGGTCAGTTTGCACAGGCCGGCATCCTTTTCTATGAAATGTTGACTTTGTAAATGTGCCCAAGCCCAGCCCAGGGGGCCATGTCCTCAGTGCTTGGATAAGCCGGGCTCTGCCTGTATCACATTGGAGGGGTCATTTAGGGTTGGGCTCACCCCACTCTTTTTTGGTTTCTTTTCTAATAAAGATGGAACAGTTCTCTTTGCCTCTTTGTTCAGCCCAACGCCTCCCTCGGCTGATTGTTGTCCAGAGTTTTGGGGCCCCTCCTCCCATAGATCAGGTTCTGGCCCTTAGGTACCCCAGGGAGCAGGTGAGGGTGCTCAGTTGGGAAGAGGTGAGCACAGCCTTGGGAGCCAAGCAAGGCAGATCCATCTGGGTAAGATTGGAGCCGGACTTGAAAGGGGTGTCAGGAGTGTCTCCTGAAGGGATGAGGGTGAGGCCCTCTGGCGTTGGATGAGGGGAGGCTGCAGAGGGCAGGCAGAGTCCAGACTCTGCTGAGGAGCTGGCTTGTGCCCCAATGTGATAGGGGCTGTAAGGGGCTTCTGAGGGGCAGGGTCTGTGTCAGGAGAGGGGAGATAGGGAGAAGGGAGACGGCAGCCAGCAGGAAGGCCATTTACCTCTCACCACACTTGCCCTGATAGGACCAACCGCAAAAGTTGGGCTCAGTCCATGATACAAAGGTAGGGCAGGGCCCCTTGTTCAAAAATTATTAAGATTTTTTTTTCTTTTTAAGATTTTTATTGGAGAATTGAGGAGGGGAACAGTGTTAGGGAATTGGGAAAGGGAACATTGTGTTTTTCCAGGACCCATAAGCTCCAAGTCCAGTCGCCACTTTCAATCTTAGTTGCAAGTGGGCATCTGCTCAGCTCAAGGTGCTGTGTTCAATCTTAGTTGCAGGTGGGTGCAGCCCACTATCCCATGCAGGAGTCAGCGGCAGCTCAGCCCGGGTGCAGCTCACTGGCTCATGTGGGAATCGAACCCGTGACCCTGTTGCTCAGAGCTCACGCTCTTAACCAACTGAGCCACTTGGCCGGCCCAAGAATTTTTTAAAGGTGACAGCAGAGCATTAAGCTAGCCTGTGATGCTGACCCTGCCCCTCCCCTCCCCAAGCCCCCATGCACCCCCAGGCTCCAAGCCCATGTATTTTGGGGAAGCACAGGTTTAAAAGTCCACAACCTGGTCCAGCCAAGTGACTCAGTTGGTTAAGAGCTTGCTCAAGAGTGTGAGCTCTGAGCAACAGGGTTGCCGGTTGGATTCCCACATGGGCCAGTGAGCTGCGCCCGAGCTGAGCTGCCAACAGGTGGCATGATGGCTCAGCTGGTGAGAGCACATGCTCCTAACAACAAGGTTGCCTGTTCGATGGTAGGCTACGCCTGCCCGCAACTAAAGACTGAACTCAGCACCTTGAGCTGAGCTGCCGCCCGGATGGCTCAGTGGATAGAGCGTGTGTTCTTAACAACAAGGCTGCTGATTCAACTCCCACATGGGATGGTGGCTACGCCCATCCGCAACTAATTGAGCACAGCACCTTGAGTTGAGTGGTGCAACTGGACTTGGAGCTGAGCTAGCTGCACCCTCCACAACTAAGATTGAAGGACAACAACTTGGCTGTTCCCCTTCCCCAATTCCCCAATAAAATCTTTTTTAAAAATTAATTAATTAAATAAATAAAAAATAAAAGTCCCCAACCTGCCCTTCTGCACACTGTCAACCCCCACTGGGGGCCTAGTCTCTACCCCCACAGCTCTGGGCTGGCTCTGCGCCCCCCCCCCACCTCCGGGGCCTTCCCTGAAAGGCTCTGTTTAGAATGGAGATGGGGACCCTCTTTGACACTCTGTGCTCCTCATGGGCTGGACACCTGTGCCCCATCCCCACCGCCTCCTCCAAGAAGAAAGGCCCAAGAGATTGGGCATTGCCAGGGTCCCAAGCCCAGACCTGTCAGAGCCACCGCAGGGACCTAGAAGTGCAGCAGCCTTCTATGGGTCCTCCCTGAACCTGTGGTGATTCAGGCCCTCCGCAAAGCTGCCTGGGGCTGAGGGGGCCAGCAGTTACTCAGCTGACCACCCCATCCCCCACCTCCGCCCCCGCAGGGACCAGGGTCTGGAGGCCCCCACACTGCACTCCCAGCTTGTCAAACTCTTTCATCCTCTGAATACAAGCACATACAGCCAGAGTGCCCAGGATAGAAAGAGGAAGTGGCAACCTTCCCCCAGGTCCAGATCCTCTTCCTGGTGTTGACGAAAAGTATCCAGCCTAAGAGAAAATGTGTAAGAGTTTATTCGAGCCAAACTGATGACAATGGCCAGGAAGCAAAGTCTCAACGGATTGAGAAAATGCTCCAGAAAATGGCCGTTTTGCAACTTATTTTATACATTAGAATCAAAGGAGCAAGGTTACATGAAATTCCATTAGTTGTAGATTAAGGGGGTGGGAGAAAGCAAAACGGGGAAATCTCTGGGATGGATAAAAGTAAAATAGAGAGACACACACTTCTTTTACATTGGTGGGTACAGCATAATTAATAGCATTTTACAGCGCATAGAGATGGTATTTGGAGAACAAGATAACAATGAGGGACTTCGTAGATTCCTGCTCTGGTGTGGAGGGTTGTAACCCCCACCCCCCACCCCCCCAGGGGGGTCTGGAAAAAGAGATTACTCTGATATTGTAAGGGTATGTTATCTTAGATGCAAAAAGACTACAGACAGGCTTAAGGTAAAGATTGACCTTTGTCAAGGAAGCTACAGGCCAAGGATGTGACTTCCCCGCCATGGCCACCTTTGTTAGGAATTTTTATGTTCAGGCCATCCTCTGTGGTTGTTTTCAGTCTCTTGAGCTTGTCAGGTTTAACATGTGGCCCCTTTTCCGTCCATACTGGGAACCTAGCAGTCTCCCAGGGCTATTCCTGGCTGCAGGACACCTCAGACCACCCCGGGAGCATTCCTACCATCTCCCTTTTCTAACCTGTGCCTGAGGAAGCACCCTCAGCCCTGGGCCTGGGATGAGTCCCAGCACCAGCCCCCAGGCCAGGGGTTGGGCTGCTCCCAGCTCAGGGCCTCAGGGCCCACTCCCACTGCCTACAGAGGTGTCCCAAGTACCCAGCAGCCAGTTGGGAGTTCTGTTTCCAACTCCCCTAGGTTTCCCTGACACCTGTAGGTGCCACCTCTCTGGAGCAACTGCAGGTACGTCTGCCATGAGAAAAGGGTGGTGCCCAGGGAATAGGCTGACTGGACCCTAGGATCTGAGGCAGCCCACAGCCAGATGACCTAAGCTCATGTCTCCCGCCAGGTTCAGCTTCCTGCAAGTTCGGGGGAATGTGTCCCCTTTGGATACCTTGAGAAGCTGCCACTGGGGGAAGGACCATCTGCCTGTCTGGACACCCTGCCCAGATGGCAGGGCCTAAATGAGCTCCAGGCCTGGACCCTCCCCACCCACCCTGGCTTCAGAGGCTCCCAGAAGCTGCCAGGGGCCTAAGACTGCCTCTCCCGGTGACCTTGGCCACGCCAATCTTGTCTGGGCCTCAGTTTCCTCACCTGCACAAAGAGAAGGGAGAAGACAAAAGATTATGCAAACTCTCTGTGAGCCACTCTGCAAGGATGGGTGGGGCTGGCCCACTTCTCTCCAGAACCCTGGGCTCTGGTCTCAGCTTCCCACCTTGGGCCTTTCCCTCACTTTCACTACCTCCCTCCAAAAGGGATCTCACTGGAGCTGTATCTGACCCATCCGCTCTTGCCCACCCCTCAGGGAGCCCTACTTCATTGCCCACACAGGTCCCTACAGAGAAACAGGACTAGAGATGTGACATCTTTGGCAGAAGATCCCAGAGAGTGGAATCCTGGGATTCAAGTTGCAAGTACAACCTCGCCTTCTCCACCCTGAAGCGCCTTCCCTTTTGAAAGCCCCGCCCTGACCAACCAGGGCAGGACTGGGGTTGAGATCCAGCAGTCCCAGCCACAGCCTCTGGATATCCGGCTTCTCTAGTGCTAGAGGTCCGGCAGCTGAAGGCTCAGGTCCCCTCCTCCATGTCCCAGCTGGCCAGAATGTGCTAATGGTGCAGATTAGGCCCTGCTGAGCCACACGGGCACCTATGGACTTTGAGAGGGGACCAGGCAAGGCGGGGTGGAGTGGGGCGGGGCATTGGTGCCGAGCACGGGAAGGGCGGGGCCAGGCTTGGGGAGTGAGCTGGTGGCAGCCTCCCAGCCACTGCTGTGCTGTCAGCTGCAGACACAGGCCACACCATGAAGCTATCCCTCCTGCCTTGCGCCTTGCTGCTGCTGGCGACAGCCCCCGGCCCAGGCCCCTGGCCTGCAGCAGGTATGCCCCTACCCTGCCCTTCTGTCCCCCTGTTTGTCTGTTGCAACCAGGACAGAAGCCCCTCTGGGCTCAGCCTCTGACCATCTGTCGGGACATTTGTGGCTGTACTGGGAGCAGTGGGAAGAAACTGGGTGGGGGAGGGGTGCCAGGGTCGAGGGGCCACCCAGTGGGGGTGGGAGGGTCTGGACGGTGCCCACCCTAAATCTTCTGGGAGCCGAGAGGGGGTAGCTGCCTGGGAAGGAGGTGTCCAGGGAGTTGGCGGGCTCAAAAGAGCCCTTGGCCTGCACCCTGAGCCCCCATAGAGGGAGTGCTTCCCATGCGGAGCCCCCCCAGTCCTATCGGCCCTCTGCCCAGACAGAGGCAGGCTATTGGACCTTGTCAGGGTGGAGCTAAACTTCAGAAAGTCTAGTGGAAGAACCGCACTTCAGAGCCAGGACCCTGGCGCCTAATACTGGGTTGGGCCAGAAGTCGCAGGCCTCCCAGCCCCCCCACCTGGCCCCTGTGTCCCATCGCAGGGAAGCACCACCACCCTCCTGCCACATAACTCACTTACTGGCATCACTCAGCCCTTCCCCCACCTCCTTGAGCCATCACACTCCCAGTCAATAAATGTTTATTGATGCTCTTGAGTGCCAGGCTCTGAGCTAGGTGAAGTGGGGCCACCAGGGTGACTCAGGCCGTCTTGGCCCTTGACCAGCCCCCTTTGTAGGGTGTCAGGGAAGGGCCAGGCGGGATGTGTGATCCCAGCTTTAGTGCCTGCACCCCACTCCAGTCTCCACCCTCCAACCCACCCAGCCATGCCAGCTTGAGGGACCAATTCCTTGAGAACATGGCCCTGCCGTGGGTCCCCACGGCTGGAGTAAAAGGCTGGAGCCTGATTCCACAGCCCCCACCAGACTAGCCCCCCACCCTGGCCCTGCTGGGCCTTGTGCTGGAAATGCACCTCTTCTTCCCTAAGCGGAGGGGTGCACGTCTCTCTTTCTCCCCAGAGGGTGGGGCTCCCTTTGGGTCCCGCAATCAATGAGTCATCACTGCCTTGCAGAGTGAGATGAGCTAGGCCTGCTCAGCCCAAGCACCTGTCCCTGCCTAGCCTCCAATGGGACTCATAGTAGCCTCATCCCCAGACCCCATATCAATGCGCCAAGGAGGCCCTCTTCTAGGCTGCCCGTCCACAGACCCTTCAGGGAAGTGGAGACAGGTCCCAGCCCGTGTTGAGGGCTCAGGAACCTGTGGCCATCTGAGGATGCTGTCAGCTACAGAACTTGGCGGAGGGTCGGTCATGTCTGGGGACTCCTCCTGACACTACATAGTTGTATATCTGGAGGCATTTCCCCTTATTCCCCTCATTCTAGCCAGTCATTCAGGCAAACTGCTAGGTGATCTGTACTAAGAATTACCCCACCCCACAGGCCCTGTGGGTTTCTACTGTCCATGTGGTAGGCATTACAATCCCCGCTGCATTCTCCTGGGCATGCTTCTCTCTAATGGACTCCAGGAAAATAGACATGGGCCCTGTGCATGAGGTGGCCGGTCCAGCCTGAGTGCTCAAGGCTCTCTCCTCCAGGTGCTCAGAATAGCTGCCTCCAACGCTGTGGGGACCGGGGCGGGCAGTGCTCCTGCCACCCAACTTGCTTTGGCCTGGGCACCTGCTGCTCGGACGTGCGGGACTTCTGCCTGGAGATCGCACCCTACTCAGGCTCCATGATGGGTGGCAAGGACTTCGTTGTGCAACACCTCAAGTTGTCTGACCCCACCGCCAGCGTGATCTGCAGGTGGGAAGCCAAGCTAGGGGCTCAGAACCCCTGGCTGGCTGGGTGGAGTCCCAAGGACCGAGGACAGGGACAGCTGTCTGGACAGGTTTCCTAGGGAGGTCAGGGGCCCAGGCCTTGGAGATGGTCAGCTCACCCTTGCCCAGCCGCTCCTGCTACCTCTGCCCCCCACAGGTTTAAGGAGATTGTCGAGACCATTGGCCACTTGGACTCCTATGGACGTGTGCACTGCGTGTCACCCTTGCTCTATGAAACGGGACGCATTCCCTTCACAGTCTTCATGGACAATGCCTTCACCTTCCCACGCTCGGGCACCTGGCTGGCTGGTGAGCCCCACATTGCTGGTTTAGGCAATGGGGACTTTCCCCAGTGCTAATGTATGCACACCTGGCCCGCCCACTGGGTCCTGTCACTCTGGCTGAACCAGTCCCTTCAGAGGCCAGCCCTACCACATGGGCGAGGGTTCCCATAGCTCCTTTCCCCACCCCCTGGCATTCAGATGGGAATCTCAACCCAGAGGGAGTGGGGGCTTCAGGGAACCCCCATCAAGGTGGGCCAGTGATTGCCTGCTCAGCTGGGCTAGGCCGGGGGAATGGAGGAGCCAGAGGCCTGGGCGATGGAGGGCAGGGCCCCGCCTCTCCTGGCCTCTGTCCTTTCTACATCATGAGGGTCTGGGGACACCATAGCTCCAATGAGACAGCCATGCTTTGTCCTTGGGAGATTCCCACAGCTCTCAGAGCCCCAGGGCCTCCTTCAGTGGACCCCCTGGGTCCCAGGCCTTGCTTCACCTTACCTCCCCCTGCCCAGTGCACCCCAGCAAAGTGTCGGAGATGGAGAAGAGCCAGCTGGTGAACGAGACTCACTGGCAATATTATGGCACCACTGACACCAGGGGTAACCTCTCCCTGACCTGGAACGCCACAGTTCTGCCCACACGCTTTGTCACCATCGAGCTGTGGGGATACGAGGAGACAGGTGAGGCATTCTGCAGGCTGCCTCTGCAGGACCTGGTCATTTCAGAAGCTTTGGGCTTGCAGAGATGAAAGGGAGTCATAGGTGGGGGAAATCCCATGGAGGGGGATCCCAGGTAGGGCTTGGAGTGAGGAAAGTGCAGACAAAGAAAGGGAACTGGAACTGGTGGGGCTGGAGGGAAGGCAAGAGGGGTGGAGGGGAACAGCACAGGGAGGCTAAAGCCCCTCTAAGGGAGAAGGTGTGGATGGATGCTTAGCCCCTGGATACAAGGCTTGTCCTGGAAACTGAAAAAGCTTGCTCCACCCCTTTTCTCTCAGTCTCTGAATGGCTGGCATGACCCTGGGCCTGGCCTCGAGCAGGGACAGTGACTATGGAGTATGGGGGGAGGAGGTAGCAGTCACTCAAAGCAGGGTCCTTGTGGGAACAGCAGAGTAGGTCCTCCTATGGCAGCGGTTCTCAACCTTCCTAATGCTGCAACCCCTTAATACAGTTCCTCATGTTGTGGTGACCCCCAACCATGAAATTATTTTCGTTACTACTCTATAACTTTAATTTTGCTACTGTTATGAATCGTAATGTAAATATCTTTTTGTTTTCTGATAATCTTAGGCGACCCCTGTGAAAGGGTCGTTCGACCCCCAAAGGGGTCGCGACCCACAGGTTGAGAACCGCTGTCCTATGGGGATCATCTGTCCATACATACCCTGTCCATCTATCAGGCTGCTTGGAGCACTAAAGACTGGTGCCCACTCCTCCTCTGCCCTGGGGATCCTCAGACAGGCCCCAGGGCTGACCGTGGCCTTCTTTCCCTTAGGGAAGCCATACTCAGCGGCATGGACGGCAAAGTGGTCATACCTGTACCCCCTGGCCACAAACATTAGCAACTCCGGCTTCTTCACCTTCATCCCCAAACCCGCTCTTGAGAAGTACCAGAAATGGGACGTGGGCGCGCTTCGAATCATCAGCAGTGACCACCGCCCAGGGGAGATGTAAGGGCCATGCAGATTATGGGCGGAGGTCCAGCTGCCTGCTGCCCAAAATGCCTGACAGGGAAGCCAGAGACGGGCAGGGAGGGTGGCCCTTAGTGTGCGTGCATCCCCACAGGAATGTGCACGCGCTCTGGAGCAATGAGCATGCCCTGGCCTGGCATCTGGGCAATGACTTCCGGGCGGACCCCGTGGCCTGGGCCCGCACTCAGTGTCTGAACTGGGAGATGCTGGAGGACCAACTGCCCAACTTCCTGGAGGAACTGCCTGACTGCCCCTGCACCCTGGACCAGGCCCGGGCTGACTCCGGACGCTTCCATGTGAGTCCCCACCCAGGTCAAGGCCCAGGAATGGGCAAGTGGGGCCAGCTGCCCCCACTCCATGGACAAGGCGGTGACCTCACCCGCCCAGAACAGCACCAGGAGAGGCAGATAGAGGCCCCTGGGATGTGGGGCTAGGGTCTGAGGGCCCCTGTGGGGGATGGAATGGGAATGGCAGAGCTCGACTCTGGGGCTGGTGACAGCAACCTGTTGCTTTATAGACTGACTACGGCTGTGACATTGACCATGGCAGCGTGTGCACCTACCACCCAGAGGCTGTGCACTGTGTGCGTTCTGTGCAAGCCAGGTGAGCCCCCAGATGGTGGTTGGGGCCTGGGGGCAGGATCCCCAACAGTGGGCCTGACCTGTCCATGCCCCCAGCCCCCGGTATGCCTCAGGTCAGCAGTGCTGCTACACCAAGGAGGGCACGCAGATCCTGACAGCTGACTCCACCAGCGGCAGCACCCCAGACCGTGGCCACGATTGGGGTGCACCCCCATTCCGAGCACCGCCCCGTGTGCCTGGCCTCTCCCACTGGCTGTACGATGTCATCAGCTTCTACTACTGCTGCCTCTGGGCACCCGAGTGCTCCCGCTACATGCACCGACGGCCCTCCAGCGATTGCCGCAGCTACCGGCCCCCACGCTTGGGTGGGTGCCAGCCAGGGCAGGGCTCAGAGCAGGGCCAGGCCAGGGAGGCCCGTCTGACCCTCCATTCTCCCCAGCCTCTGCTTTCGGGGATCCGCACTTTGTCACCTTCGATGGCGCCAACTTCACATTCAACGGGCATGGCGAGTACGTGCTGCTGGAAGCCATGCTAACCAACCTGAGTGTGCAGGCACGGGCTCAGCCCAGGACAAGGCCCGACGGTGAGTCCAGGGCCCTGAGGGCTCAGGGTGGCTCAGGGTCATCCTGGGTGGGAGGCTGGAGATGAGTGGACACTATTCTGCACCCACCACCCCAGGCACGCAGGACCGAGGCACAGGGCTGACTGCTGTGGCCGTCCAGGAGGGTAACTCAGACATAGTGGAGGTTCGACTTGCTGGGGGGACAGGGACCCAGCAAGTGCTGCTGAACCAGGAGGTGCTCAGCTTCGCCGAGCAAAAGTGGATGGACCTGAAGGGTGAGTGAGGTGACCGGGCAAGGTTGGTGGGCTGCACTCCCTCCCTTTCCCTCCACCTGGACATCCACACCTCTCACTGGCCCTGACAGGAGGCAGAGGTTGTATCCAGGGCACAGATGTAGAGACGGAGGCCTCTTGTGGCTTGTTGCAGGGCGACAGTCAGCCCCTCTCCCCTGCACCCCACTCCAGAGGAGCCTGGCACAGTGGACATATGGCCCTGACCCATGGCTATCTGTGGACAGATAGTTCCAGGCCCCAGGTAGCAAAGTCCTGGTCTTGATCTTGAGCCTTCACACCCATGGAGCCCCGAAACACATCCCAGTCAGAGTCCCAGGATGCCAGGAGGGCTGGATGAGTTTCTCACTGCAACCCAGAGGAGACGGGAGGTACAATGTTTCAAGGAAGCTGGCCTGAGGATTAAGGATGGCAGCTCCCTGTCTACCCCCCTTTCTTCAGTAGCACTGCCTCAGGGAATTGAATGAATGAAATGACTCCTATTTGGGTTGAGTGGAGACCTGAGAAGGGCACTGAAGATAAAGGGACCTCTGGAGAGGGCGGAAGCAAGCACTTGTTGCTGCCTCCGTCAGGGAGCAAGGGCCAATAGGAAACCCCCATGTGTGGCCTTGGCATGGCGAGCGGGGTGGGGTGTCTCTTCAGGGTCTGGGCACCTCAGATCAGCAGGAGAGGTCCTGGCACAGGAATGGGCCCGGAGTGGTAGAGTGTCATGGGCAGGATTCGTCCTAGGAATGCCCTCCCCTCCCCCCTGAAGCCCAGGGGCACCAGCCCACCCATCCTGGGGCTACGGAGTCACCGCATGGTGCCCACAGGAGGCAACTCTGACCCCAGCTCCACCTGTATCCAGGCATGTTCCTGTCAGTGTCTGCCAAGGACAGCGTAACGATCATGTTGTCATCGGGGGCAGGCCTGGAGGTCAGTGTCCTGGGTCCCTTCCTGAGTTTGAATGTCCTGCTGCCCGAGAAGTTCCTTACCCACACTCAAGGCCTCCTCGGAACACTCAATGACAATGCTGCAGATGACTTCACTTTGCGCAATGGGCAGGTCCTGCCCCCCACTGCAAGTTCCCGAGAGCTGTACCGGTTTGGGGCTGACTGTGAGTGACCTTGAGACCCATGCTGGAAGAGAGACATGGCAGTGGCAGGATCAGTGGAGGTTGGGGGGGACCCCAGGCCCTAGGCCACCAACCAAGCCTGCTGCATGTCTCCCCAGGGGCTGTGAAGAACGCCTCCTCCCTTTTCACCTATGACTCCCGGCTCCTGGTCAACAAATTCTTGTATGGGCCCAAGCATGACCCCACCTTCCAGCCCCTCTTCCCTGAGGAGACCACCCCCAGCCCCAGCCTGGAGACTGAAGCAGCCAAATTGTGTGGGGACAACCATTTCTGCAGCTTCGACGTAGCAGCCACTGGGAGCCTGAGTGTGGGCAATGCTACACGGGTAGCCCACCAGCTGCACCAGCATCGCATGCAGAATCTGCAGCCAGGTGAGGCCTGCAGATGGCATAGGCAAGGGGGCAGACACCTTACACTGGGACACAGCCCCCCAAAGCCAGCAGCTGAAGGAGGTGGCCAGTGGCTCAAGGTTGTAATCTGCGCCCCATCTCTACCCCAGTGGTGTCCTGTGGCTGGCTAGCCCCGCCCCTCAATGGGAGCAAGGATGGCACCAAGTACCTGATGGGCTCCATGGTCTACTTCCACTGTAAAAATGGCTACAGCCTGGCCGGAGCAGAGGTCAGCACCTGCCTGGCGGATGGCACCTGGTCCAGCCCACCCCCGACATGCCAGCCAGGTGAGGATGCCCAGTCCACCTGCCCTTGGGCAGCCTGCAGCCCAGTCTCGCCTGGCCCCACCCACATGCTTGCCCCTCCCACATGCTGCACCTGCCCGCCTGTGGGGCGGGCACTCCAACCACCTGCCCTGCCTCTGCCCAGGGCCATTCTCACCTTTTCCACCCACTCACTCTCCAGGACGGAGCCATGCTGTGCTGCTGGGCATCATCTTTGGAGGCCTGGCAGTGGTAGCTGTGGTTGTGCTCCTCTACATGCTGCTGCGTCGGAGGAAGTGCAACATGTGAGAACCCCTCCACCAGGACCCAGGGTCCTGCCAGCAGAACCCTGGTCTGTGCCCCTCTTCAATTCCCCTGGGTCCCTGGGGCATCTGTGAGACTACCGTGCCTGCTCTATACTTGGTCTCATTTGCAAGGCCATCTGGAATTCACCCTGAGGGGAATGCTCTTAGCCAGCAACTCAAGTGCACTGGGCCACCCTGAGACAAAAGACCAGTCTCCCAGGAGAAAGCTCTGAACTCCCAAGAGCATGCACCCCAGTACTTCAATCCCCAAATCCCTAGTACCTGGGACCTGGACACCTGAAACCTGAGCCTTTAATGCCTGTGGACCTGAGGCCTGGTCCTCTGCTCTGTCACCTCAGACCTGGACCCTGAGCTCTAACTATGCAGTTCCCGAGGCCCTATTCCCCAAGTACTCGCAGCTCTAACTCCCCAGACTTGAGACTCCATAGCCTTGAATTCTAATACCTGTCCACCGAGCCCTAGTACTGCAGCACCTAATACTCAATTGCCAATACCCCAGGTCCTATGTCCAATGCCGTGCCCCTGATCCCTGATGTCCTGACACCTGGTGCCCCAACCAGAGCCCCAGTACCCAGCTGCCTTGATTTCTGGACCCTGGGCCCAGCTAAGACAGCAGGCGGGCCCAGCCCAGGATGTGGAGAGGCCCCAGTACCCCAAATCTGAGAGTCATCCTCTGAACTCCAGACTTGTTATTTTAACTCATTTGGAATGTCACTTGAAACACCCCTCCCTGCCTGAACAAGGAGAAAACAAGCCTGTGACGCCCACTCCCTGGTATCCTGGTGGCTAAGCTGTGCCTCAGTTCTAGGGTTCCACAGTTACCTTTGGAGTCCAGAGTGACCTGAGTCAGAGTCCTTCATCCACTGCCAGGTCACCTGGGACAGATCCCTCCCTGGCCTCTGTCTTTCCATCTGAAAAATGGGGTTGAGGACAGTCACCGCTTCGTGGGGTGGGGAGGAAAGGTGTGGTGTTTGGGAAAGGTGCACCATGGAGTGCCACACTGGGTGCCCAGGAGATGGACGGAGCCAGCCTGCCCTCCCCCAGAGTAGGTGCCTGGCCTTGCACCTCCCTGAAGCCAGTCACTGGTAGTGGCAGGCCCAAGTCCTCTGGCTGAGGCCCATGTTCTGGGTCCTTGGGCCCTCCACACAGTAGTGTCCAGAAGGTAGGTATGGAGTGTAGGCCTCATGCCACCTCTGCCCGCCTGAGCCCCTGCCCCTCTTACAGGGCCAGGTAGCTGGTGCAGAAACACAGGCTAGGAGCTGGCTTGAGGACAAATGACCCAAAGTTCGTGGCGAGGGAGCTGAATGCCATGGGAGAGAGTCTAGAAAGGGTAGGGTGGGGTCATTTGCTTTGTAGGTGTCAGACAGAGAAAGCACTGGGGAGGGCGGGGTTAGAGGTTAGTGCCCTCTGGACCAAGCAGGCAGCTCAGCCTGAGGGGCGGGGGCAGGATGGTACTGTGCCCACAGGATGAAGAGCTCTGGGTGAGAGGTGATGGGTTAAGTGGAGGCCCTCTACACTGGCCTGCAGCACCAAGAGTGACCACGTGGGGGCAGCCGAGGGTAAGAACAGTGAGCAAAGGTGAAGGCTGCACCAGGACCCAGACCATGGGAAGGGCAGTCAGCTCCAGCTCTGCAGCTGGGCCTGCAGGCTTGTGTTCACACCCTCAACCAGAGTTCAGGCAGGCCCCCCTCTGCACGTCTTTTCAGCCTGGAGGTCTTTGAGTCATCCCCCAGTCTCAGAAACTCAAGTCTTAGAGGGGTTGCACAGGTCACCCTAGGTCGTCCAGCTGGCACTGACCACTGAGTCGGAGCCCAGGTCTTCCCACCCCTCAACTTTGCCTGTGATAGAGGGTCCCTGGCAGCGGTGGGGAGCTGAGTGGCAGGGGCAGATCCTGTTTACAGGGTTTCAGGGAGTAGGGTGAGTATGCACCATGGGCATCCTGAGGAATTGGAAGACTCCCAGGGACGGTGCCCAGAAGACTAAAGGAGGAGGAGGGGTGGCTGCTTCCTTCCCTTCCAGACCCAAGAACTCGCGATTCCCTCCCTATGTCGGCTTCCAGCTCAGGGTGGGGCTGAGGGCCAGTGCCTTAGCTACTGGGCAGGAACTTTCTTCTCTGCAGACGAGGTAAGGCAGGGCTGGCCTCTCGCTGACCGGAGTCCTCCGTGCATCCCTGTGCTGAGCCAGGCCCAGCTGGGCAGGAGCAGTTTCATAGCTCCCATAACAGACCTCAGGGAACCAGGGGAATTCTCAGAGATGTGATTGGTCAGAGAGGGCGTTCCAGGGAGAGGAACGGCCTGAGCAAAGGCTTAGAGCAAGAGAAGTCCAGTTGGGTATGAGGAATAGTGATAAGGGGGTGGCAACCAAGGCTCCTTCCCCATCAGGTCATGACATTTAGGCTTCATCCTAAGAGGAAAGCATGGCCTCGCCTACTCCCATCCGTGTCCCTCTCGGATGGGCCATAGAACTGCCATTGCCACTCCCTGGAAGGAGAAGGGGTGCATTGTCTGGCTCTTACCCCACACATCAGGCCTTCCCAGTGCCAGGGGCAGGCCAGGCTGGAAAGTCCCAACACCTGACAGGGTTTTCCCAGGCCCCTAAAGGAGTCAGAGATTCTATTGGGCTTGTGAGAGTGGAAGATCCCAGAGCCCAGCACAAAATCCTTAGAGACATCAAAGGCAGGGACCCCCACCTCTGGAAGGTGGTCTCCCCAGTTCAGCCCCAAGGAGTCATGGCATCAAAACTCAATGGCCAATCCCCTACCCCCTGTACCTGTCCGGGTTTGGGAAATGGTGATCCAGGGACTCGGAAACACAAATGATGGGAGAGCTAGGAAGTCAGATGAGAGATGGTGAGGCAGCCACAGGATCCCAGCAGCACCCCTGGGCCGAGGGACAAAGGACAGGGGTGCTGCTGAGCCAGGCCCATGTCCCACACAGCAGGAACCATGCAAACCCATGGGGCTCTAGCTGGAGCCAGAGACAACAGTCCAGCCACAGACTCCCCTGTAGGCCTGAGGTGGGGGAAGCATCTCATCTGTCTCCAGCCTCCCACTAGGGCCTCCCATTGACTGAGCGCAGTGGGGAATGCTGACAGAGATGAGGGGCCAATAAAGCACAACAGGGTTGGGACCCCTCCTTGGCCAAGCTGGTTCCTTCTGTAAGTCCCAGGATGGCCGAGTGCCTGCCCTGAGCCACCTGTTTTCACGGGGTTCATGGCTTGATGCTGCCTGGGGAAGTGGGGGGGGTGTCAGTGCAGTGCATCGTGAGTGTGGGAGGTCAGGGGTTCTTCCTGGAAAAGTCTAGCTCAAGCTGAACTTCAAAGGATAAACATTAGGGACGTGGGATTGAATAGGTGCCTGCAGCTGTTCAGCAGCCCACATTGCCCGACTCCTCTCCTGGGTGGCTCACTGGACTACATTTCTCAGTCTCCGTTGTGCTTGTGTGACTAAGTTCTAACCAGTGCAATATGAGCAGAAGGAGGTGGGGCACTTCCAGGCTTGGCCCATAATCCCTCCCTCAGGCACCCCTCCAAGCTCTTAGCCCTGCTTGGGATGGTGCAAGGATGATTTTGGAAGCTGCGCCAACCTGAGTCCCCAGAATGTGGGAGGGCCCCCTGACCTGTTTACCTATCCATAAGTACTGCTGCAAGAAGAAATAAACTCATGATTAAGCCATAGTACATTTTGGGGTCTATTTGTTACAGCAGAAAAGCAAAAGAGGGCCTTACATTTTTCATTAGTTGAAAATAAATACTGCGCCGGCCGAGTGGCACGTTGGTTAAGAACTGGCTTGGGACGCCAGAGGGCCCCGGTTTGGATCCCACATATGAAGGCTAGTGACACTGCCCTCTACAGCTAAGATGCTGAACAACAGCTCGACCTGGAGCTGGGCTGCCGTGGGTCACCGGCGACGGCGTAGGCTGCAGTCCCCTGCTGCAGTTGGCTGCCATAAGCTACCATGTATAGCCAGCAGCCAGCGTGAGCGGCCGTCCAGAGGCCGGCAACTGATCTGCCTCGCCCAGGAAGAGTGCAATGATGGTGCCAGCTTGGGCCAGTGATGCAACATCCACAACTAGACTGAAGAACAACAACAACAACAAAAACAACAACAGCAACTTGTCTGTTCCCCTTCCCCCGATTCCCCAATATATATTTTTTTTTTTAGCTGAGCCATCCTGCCACCTGTTGGCAGCTTAGCAACAGCTCAGCTCGGGCATCGAACCACTGTTGTTCAGAGTTTGCACTCTTGAGTGAGCTCTTAACCAAAAAATCTTTAAAAAAAAAAAAAAAAGAAAAGAAATACTGTGCACAAGTTTTTAAAAATTCAAACAGATACAGCAATGTTCATAGCAACATTATTTACAATAAACAAAAGATGGAGGCCACCCAAGTGTCCATCAATAGATGAATGGATAAGCAAGTGTGTATCTTTTCAATGGAATATTACTCAACTTTAAAAAGGAAGGGAATTCTGGCACATGCTGCAATGTGGATAAACCTTTGAGTATAAACAATGAGGACATAATGTTTAGTGAAACAAGCCAGTCACAAAAGGACAAATATTGTATAATTCCACTTGTTTTAGGTACCTAGAGCAGTCAAATTCACAGAGACAAAATGATGGCTGTGGGAAGGGAATGGGGAGTCACTATTTAATGGGTACAGAGTTTCAGTTTTGCAAGATGAAAAAAAGTTCTGGAGATGGATGGTGGTGATGGTTGCTCAACAACATGAATATATTAATGGCACTAAATTGTACACTTGATGGTTAAGATGGTAAACGTTATGTATTTATGTATTTTGCTACAATTAAAATTTAAAAAATAGAGACAAAACAATTAACTAGTGCCCATTTGGTAGACATTAAGCTGTGCTTAATTTTTTGCTTCAAACACTTGTGCTTTGTAAATAAGTTCAAGTTTACCTGTAGGAGAAATTCACACAAAAGAATTGGCTGGTTAAATAGCACATGTGCTTTCCTTCTAGAGTTGTACCAATTGACACCACTAACCTAAGAGAAAGCCTGGTCCCCTACACTCTTGTCAGAGTAAGGAGCCTTCAAACATTTTACTCTTTACCAGATAGAAGAAACATGGTGTTTGTCCTGTGTCAACTTGGCTAGGCTGAATGACATTCCCAGAATTCCCTCCCCTGTACGTTTTGGGTTAGGATGGGCCACAAGAGAGATTCCTGTGTAAGATTGAGAGGGTCGAAGTGAATCAGCAGTCTTTTTTGTAGCTCACATTCATTGTGGCATGTCTGCTGACTCAGCTGGTCCGCAGGGGCAGAAGCCAAGCTTGCAACTGCTCCACCTGCCCCCAACCTCACTCCCCACCCACTTCGGCTTCCCAGACTCTTTTTTTTTTTTTTTTAAAGATTTTATTGAGGAATTGGGGAAGGGGAACAGCCAAGTTGTTGTCCTTAGATCTTAGTTGTGGAGGCCACCAGCTAGCTCAGCTCCAAGTCCAGTCACCATCCGGCCGCCCGTTGGGAGCTGGCGGCCACGCAGCTCAAGGTGCCATGTTCAATCCTAGTTGCAGGTGGGCATAGCTCACCATCCCATGCGGGAGTTGAACCAGCAACCTTGTTGTTAGGAGCACGTGCTCTCACCAGCTGAGCCATCCTGCCACCTGTTGGCAGCTCAGCGGCAGCTCAGCTTGGGCACAGCTCACTGTCCCATGTGGGAATCAAACCGGTGACCCTGTTGCTCAGAGCTCGCGCTCTTAACCAACTGAGCCATTCGGCCGGCCCAGCTTCTCAGACTCTTGGTCCAGGTGTGTGATGAAGGCTTTCAGCTTTTGCAAGAAATATTGTTGCCCTTGGTAACAAGAAGAGACATGGGTTTCAGCCTATCCTCATGGGCTCCAGCCCACACTGGGGATGCCAGCCAGCTCTGGATCTTTCTCTTCATTTTACATCCATCTTCCCCTGCCTCAACTCCCTGCCACATGGACCTCAAGCTCCAACATCAAGTCAAAGACAATACCCTTGACCAGCTCTCACAGTTGGGGCTCCTGCTTCTCAGATTAAACTCGGACTGACATAAATGTGATATCTTTAAATTTTATTTAGTATAAGTTGTATGTGAAAAATGTAATTTGGTGCAGCCACTATGGAAAACGGTATGGAGGTTTCTCAAAAAATTAAAAATAGAATTACCATATAATCTAGCAACCCCACTCTGAGTATACAATGTCTGACAATTAAGTTCGTGAGCTTGTTGCAACGCTGTTGCTAACCTTTTTTGATAATAGAATTTGTACCAACTGGACAAACAGTAAACTATTTGGAAGTGCTGAAAAGGTTTCATGAAAAAGTTAGACGACCCGAATTTTTCTCCAACAATTCATTGCAACAGTGCACTAGCTTACACAGCACTGTCTGCGAGGGAGTTTTTAGCCAGTAATCAAATAACTGTATTGGAACACCCTCCCTATTCACTTGATCTGGTCCCTAATGACTTCTTTCTTTACCTGAAGATAAAGGAAATATTGAAAGGAAGACATTTTGATGATATTTAGGACATCAAGGGTAATATGACAACAGCTCTGCTGGCCATTCCAGTAAAAGAGTTCCAAAATTGCTTTGAAGCGCTGGACTAGGCATCGGTACATAGCTTCCCAAGGGGAGTACTTTGAAGGTGACTGCAGTGATATTCAGCAATGAGGTATATAACACTTTGTCTAGGATGAGTTCGTGAACTTAATTGTCCTACCTTGTATATCCAAAGGAAATGAAAATAAGATATTGAAAAAATATCTGCACTCTCATGTTTGTTGCAGTATTATTCACAATAGTTAAGATATCAAAACAATCTAAATGTCCACCAACAGATGAATGGTTAGAGAAGTGTGATTTATATATACAATAGAATATTGTACATCCATGAGAAAAAAGGAAATCCTGCCACCTATAACAAATAGGACCTTTTTTTGGGTGGACCTTGAGGGCATTATGGTACATGAGATAAGTCAGACAGAGAAAGACAAACATTGCATGATCTCATTTATAAAGTGGGATCTAAAAAAGCCAAACTCATAGAAACAGAGTAGAATGATGGCTACCAGGGGCTCAGGGGTGGAAGGAAAGGGGAGATAGATGTTTGTCAGAGTACAAATTTCCAGCTATATAAAAAAATTAAAATTAATATAGTATAAGTTGTATGCAAAAAAGTGCATTCTCAGGGTATGTCTTCATGAATTATTCCAAGGTGAACATACCCAGTTAACCATTAACCACCATCCAGGTCAAGATGCTGAACAGCACCAACCCCACCTCACGTGCCCCCCCCCTGCATTTTCCCTCCTCCCAGGTTAATTTCTCACAGCACAGATTAGTTTTGCTTGGTCTTGTACTTTATATAAGACTTGTAGAGTCAGTGCTCTCTTGTCCATAGCTTCTTGGTGTTTCCATATGAATTTTAGAATCAGCTTGTTAATTTCCACAAAGAAAACACAAAAAGACCCCACTTTTTAGTATTTTGATTAGGGTTGCATGGAATCTATATGGTGAATGTGGTGTAAATGTAAGAAACGTCCAAACCTGTAGAGAAGTTTGATGATTTTATTTGAGCCAAACTGATGACAATTGCTGGGAAGCAAAATCTCAACGGATTAAGAAAATCCTTTGGAAAATGGTAGTTTTCCAGCTTATTTTATACATTAGAATCAAAGGAGGAGATGTAAAGAGGGTTGCATAAAATCCATGGGTGGTAGAAAGGGGGTGGGAGAAAGCAAAGCAGGGAAATCTCTGGGATTGGATAAAAATGAAGAGACACACACTTCTTTTACATTGGTGGATACAGGATAGTTAACAATTAACATTTTACAGCACATAGAGACTACTTGAAGAACAAGATAACAATGAGGGGTTCTGTAGTCTGGTGCCCTGAGGGGACCAGAAAAACAGATTACTGACATTTCAAGGGTATGTTATCTTAGATGCAAAAAGATAATAGGCTCACTGAAGATAAAGATTGATCTTTGTCAAGGAAGCTACAGGCCAAGGAAATGACTACTGGCCATGACCCGCTGTTAGGAATTTTTATGTTCAGACCATCCTATGTGGTTAATTTCAGTCTCTGAGTTTATAGGGCCTGCCATGCTGGCCTCCCCTGAGCTTGTCAGATTTAGTATGTGGCCCCTCTTTCATCTACAGTGGAGAGAATTGGCATCTTCACAATATTACGCCTTCTAGTCCCTGAACATAGTATAACTTTCCATTTATTTAGGTCTTCTTTAAATTCTTTCAGTTATATTTTGTAGTTTTCAGTGTAGAGGTCTTGGATCCCAATTTTAGTTTAACTTCTAGGCTTTGACTACTTTTATGCTATCGTTAAGTCATTTCAATTCAAAAAGGTGTTTTCTATTTGTGGCTAGTATGTAGAAATATCATCGATTTTTGTATATTTTCCTTGACTCCAGTGATCTTGTTAGATTGGCCTATTTCAAACAGTTTATCTGTTGAGTATCTACAAATAATGACAATTTTATGTCCTTCTTTTCAATCCTATGCCTTTTATTTATTTTCTCATCTTATGCACTGACAAGGGCTTCCCTTTACACTATTGAAAGGAAATGAAAGCTAAGACATGTATCTTTATCTCAAAAGTCTCCATCTACAAAAGGAAGGTTTTTCATGTATTACCATGAACTATACATTTACTGATAAATTGTAGCTG